CCCCCCCCCATCCCCCGCCCCCCCCTGCCTGCCCCCCCCGATCGCCTCCCTCTCGCTGCCAATAAATGGTGGCTGCACACTCGCCCCAGCTCCGGCACCGGGCAGCCCCCAGCCAGCCTCGCATGGGGGGGGGGCGGAATTACACCCCCTCCCCGCCACCCCGTGGGCGTTTGATCCGGAGAGATGCTCAGTGTTTTCCCCACGTGCTCCCGCCTAATCCCATGGCAGGGCCAGCTGGCACCGGGATGGATGGGGAGCCTGGGGGGCTGCCGCGGGTGATGCTGGACCCGCCAGGCACCAAAGCACCCCGGGGCTGAGTGGAGCCGTGGCAAGCTCGTGCGTGGCAGCACCAGGGTCACCGGTGACTTGGGGCGTTTGGGATGCAGGAGGCGCTGGGGAAAGAAAAGAGGGAGCGCGGCGATGAGCGTCCTTCCTGGGCAGGGGCTGCGGGGCTCAGCACGGTCTGCTCCTGCAGCCGGCCAAAGCCATCGTGGTTATGGCCACATTTACGGGCCGGGCAGAAGCGGGGTGCCCGCAGGCAGTAGCACAGGTCGGTGAGCAAACACTGTGCTGAGCATGGGGAACGGCACCTTGAAATGGGGCTGCAGGAGCCTTTGGGCCGGCTGAGCCCGAGCTGGAGCAGAGAGGGGAGAACTTGGCTCTGGTCCCCAAACGGCCACTGTGCCCCATCTTTCTGGGTCCCCATGAGCCGGTCCGTGGTCCCTGCGGCTTGTCGGACAGCCCCGTGCGATGGACAACGTGTCGCCTGCTCGCGGGCTGGGGAATCACCACTGGCTCATTTTCCCTCTGTGGCTCTTTGATCCATTTTGGGCATCTCTCCAGCCACGCAGGACAGGCGGAGGGGGAGGCCAGGGGCCGGGTCACCGCAGGGGGACCAGCGGCCGCCTGCCCCAGGCGTGGGACAGGGTCTGCGGCAGCGGCAGGGCCTGACGCCGCTCCCTCCCCTCGCTCAGCACACTGCTGCTCCCTGCCTTTCCCTCTCCAGACACTTTTATGGCTGGTGAAACGTGAGCACTGGAGAGGCTCAGAGCAGCAGCAGTCACTGCTGGGGAGAGGGACGGGAAAACTCCCGGGGACGGAGACCTTGGGGCAGGACATGGCAGCACACAACGAACCAGATGGTGAAAGCATCCCTGGGTCGGCGCTGCGGTGGGCACGGGCTGATCGCTACCAGCAAACCGGCTTCGAGCCGACTTTCCGTGGGCGCTGCCTGCTCACAGGTGTCTGGGACCAAGCTGCAGGAGAAGCAGGCAGGGGCACGGAGCAGGGAACCCAATGCCTGGATGGGCAACGTGCTGCCCGCACCTAGCTCCCTCCTCCGCCACCGCTTCCCAGCATGGCCTCAGGGACGTCCCCGTGCCTTTGACGCCGTCGCACACACAGGCGTCCCGCAGACCTGCCCTCCCGCTGGGGACGTGTCTGCACGCAGCTGCTGCGGGGGTCAGCCAGGCTTCCCGGGGTCAGCCAGGCTTCCGGGGATTAACGGCGGTCCCTGGGAGAAGCTTGGAACAAGCTTCGCGAGGAACGAAATCCCTTTGTCGATTTGCCCGGCTCCTGGT